GTGCAAAACCTATGCATAGGAGCTCAACTCTTATGAAACCTACTGCTAGCCAATTAGCCAAACAAAATTGTCCCCCTCAAGCTGCTACCTCCAGGTAAGTCATGGACATGTTGACCCCCTCCCAGTTTTTGGTAGTCTCACAATCCAGGTATCTTACCTATTGAAAATGATTACTTTCAGTTTTATATTCCTTGTAATGTAAAAGCATCCTAGTGTCAATAAGTAGACTTGCTTGTGTGAAAGCTTCTATAATAAAATGCCTGTCTCCTGGTGGTGACTAATATCAACCTTAAATCCTTAAAAATTAAGGCCTTTGTATTTGGTTTCCTATTGTAGATTTCAGCAGCGACAGGCGCTAAACAATATCAGATGCCTAGGTAATCCTTCTGTGGTTGAAAGTCAAGCTGCAAAGAGGCAGAAGCTAGAGGGAGGTTTCTTGCGTAAGGTACATGAATTGTGAAAATTCCCATATTCCCACTATGGTTGCTTATACCGCTGAATTTCCTATGGAAACTGTTTTTATTGAATTTATTGATTTTAAATCACAATAAAAAACTAGTTTTATATTGTTGAAGAACCTTGCCCCCTTTAACGTTCTCAAATTGGCAACGAAAAATGAGTGCATGTTATCATAGGGTCTTCTTATGGGTTGTGTTGTTCACATATGAAGTGACAGACCTATTAAAATTGAGAATAAAGACAAACTAGATTCACGTAGATCAGTTTGGCATCTGGCTTCACTTTTCTCGCATTAGATTTCTGACTTTTGTATTTGAAATTATCATTTATTTACTACCATGGTTCAGTTACACGTTTACTGAATAAACTACTGATTTGGGCTCGCTTATGTTCTTCATGGTAGGTTGATGAGGTGAAGCAGCAAATGACTTTGCTCCGCAAGGCACCTAAAAAAGTATACCCCTGAATAATGTTCAGATTTTGGGAATGCAATTGGACCTTAACCTGTGTTGCATATGAGACATTCTGAGTTTTTCTTTTTGGTTGCAGGAAGGTACCAAAGGTAGAAATGCCATCAATACCAGGCTGCGGCTTACCATTCCAAGGGAACCTGAGCTTGAAACAGCACACAGGGCTCAAAGAATACGGTTAGTTCAGGTCCACTATCTTTTACATATTGAGGCGTAAAGTAAGAGTATCCTTAACAAGCTGCTGGCGCAATGTTGCCTTCATTTCAGGCCTAAGAATGGTAGAGAGGAAGGACTTGTTACATGTGTCACACATAGATTCAAAGCACGCCCATTGAATAGAAAAGTTGGTACTTGTGTTACAAAAGGGACTTCCTCCAAAGCTGATTTTATTGTACTTCTCTCCTCTCAAATATGTTCACAATTTGCAGATTCTCGAGGGTCCTTCATTGCCTGTTTCAAAAAAGAGTGTTCCAAAGTTGCCAGAGTTTCAAGTAATAAAATGCAGTTTCTTCGTTGTTCCTGAATTAATGGCATTTTGTCGAAGCATCAAAAGCAATGTTATTTTAGAAAAAACGAGGTTTCTTACCCTCCATACGTAGCACTGATTTCTTTCTCATTGCTCCTTAGGAATTTCACCTGAAGACATTGGAAAGGGTGGTGCAACTCTCATCCGCTGTATCCTCCTTGTCAATACATACAAATGCTGCTGATAAGGTAACCACCGATATATTTATTTATCATACATTGAACTTTTTCATATCTGGATATCTGGAATCTTCTGTCATTGCAGGGGATTGAAAAACCTTGTACAATTTCTGCTAATGGCAATGGAACTAGAGAAGCCAGAAGGTAAATGCTTTAAAATTGAATTATCTAGAGACCGGTTTTATGCAGAATTTAAGATATATAGGTATCTAGCATCATATGTGCTTGTGCCAATTCTTTTTTATGCGGCCCCCTGTGTATAACCTAATTTTAATTTTGTATTGAATCTGATAAAGGAGTGACTTTGATTTTTTCCCTCTTCTTTTTGTTTTTTATTCCTTAGACGAAGTGTCATGGATGCCGCTTGCCAGGATGTTTGTGACACAAAGTACAACTTCAAAGCCCGTCCTTTAAATAGGAAGGTAAAGAAGGAATAAATTGCATCAATGTATTGTTTATTTAAAAGCTTGAGCTAGGTATCAATGTTTCCGATCTAATGAATCTAATTCCTTATGCAGATATTTTCCAGTAAAGGTCATATTGGTGTTTTTCGAAATATAAAGAGGGAAACCACAGTGCCAATGGTATGGCATGGAAGTTCTTTCCTCTTTTTATACGTACTGATTGTTTGCTGAATTGTTTGAGATGAAAATGTGTTTTGTCTACCATACAGGAATTTAATTTCCAAACCGAGAAGAGGGTTCCGCAAAATCCACCCGTCGACCTTTCTAGCAAGGTGAACCTTAATAAATGTCTCATTTATATTTAATATGCTCATCCTTTTTATTCCAATCAACATTTGGTGTGTTTGATATTTTGGGGGGTTTTGTGTGTCTATCTATCTGCCAGCTATCTCTTACATCTGAGCTACAGCCAAGCAATGGATCTCAGATGAAGTCTCCTCGGCCTACCTTTACATCTAATAAGATTGCCTTGGTATTATAACTCTAATTTCTTTTTAGCGCTTGTGAACTTTTGATTTTTCTGTGTTATTCATATAATTGTTCTTTGTTATAAGGGCTCAAAAGAAAACAGATTCACTTCATTCCAACCAGAACACGAGGTAAGTTTCATAATTTCAGTACATAAGTTCCATTAGCATCTTTTAGGTCTACCAATTCTCTCTCTCCATCCGTCCTTGCCCTCGTGTAATAACTCTAAATGCCAATTTCTTGTAGGCGAGGCATTTGAGAAAGGAGAAAACGCTTCTCTGGGGGAAATAATCACTGAAGTTGGTAATCAATTGAGCATAAGGTAACATTGGGGTCGTTAGCACAATAATATCTCTTTGGTCTTATTTTGATAATTTTAGAGAATAACTCAACACGGAGATTATACAGGAGATGGACATGTTCCCTGATGATTTGCGACATCGACATCCAACTTAATATGTTGCTGTTGTTTCGGAATTTTGAAGAATCAACACTTTGACAAGAGCATAGATCGACATAGATCTCTTTTTCTTGATACTAGAAATCAATCTTTACATCCAAAGGAACTTGGCATGTTAGGTGTGCACTTGTGTGCTCTGAATGCTTTCAAGTCACACGACTCAAAAAAGTGCATAATAATACTCCCAAAAAAAGGAAGAAAAAAGAAGTTAAAACACATTGTACAGCCCGAACATGTTGGGTGTACTTTCTTACCCTTTATCAACAAATGTTAATGGCCATTAATCTATGGTAATCAAGTCATTAGGAGACAATGACTGCTTGTACCAAACCAAGGCGTGGAAGAAGGTTTCGACACGAGTTATACAGACACGATTGCTGATGCCAAGAGATCCCCTTGCTTGATTTCTGATTTTGTTCCTTGTTGGAACACGCTTGCTTACGTACAACGGTACAAGTGCAGATAAGATTCGGAAATTTTGGCTTGATACATGATATCAAAATATCATATTAAAAAAACATTAACACAAATAAATCTATCTGGTATGGCTGTTGCAACATTTAGATCACGTGTTTAACTTTGAAAAGAAAACAAATGTGTATGAAGAGATTTATTTTCTCGTGTTTAAAAATGAAGGTAAACTAAGAGGCGTGCTGGAGTTTAAAAGTACTAAAATCTCTATTATAAAAAACAACAAAATCCCCAAATTCTTAAATTCATAGTCTCTGATTTCTAAATCTCTAATCTTCAAAGCATTAAATCGGTTATTGATTTATCATTGTCCACAAATCTGCACTATCAAATCAAATATCATCTTCGAACTCCAATAATTGTTCATTCCTTGACGTTGCATGGAATGCTTAAATCTCTAAATCCCCTCAAATCTTTGTTTCGTTGTTCACCCAGTCATCGCCAACTGATTCGTCACCGTATACAAGCTTGCACTGCTGCTTAAACGGAATGAAACAACTGCACTGCGCCTCTTGAACCGTCAACCATTTGAATGGATTTAAGAATTTAGTGATTCCATGCGATGGTAAGGGAGAATCAATTAGTGGGAGTCTGACGACAAAAGGATTAGACGATGATGGTTGATTCAACGACGACAAATGAATTTCAAAAAATTAGGAGTTTAAAGATTTAGAGATTATAGATTTTAATGACTTGGGGATTATAAGGGTTTTAGAAAATTAAGAATTTTATTTTTTTTCGATAAAGGAATTTAGAAATAAGCCAACGTGTCATAAATCACCGGATGAAAGTTGATTCAATCATTTGAATTGATTTTTTAGTTTAAAAATTTAAGTTTGAGTTCACACAGGTAAAAAAATTTTAAGGTTATTATCGGGGTGAATTTGGATTTATGGTAAAAAATTTGATTCGACCTAAAATAAAATTATAAATTTTCTTTTTATATCTACAGATAATTGTAATAATATCTATTTTTATTTATTTTTTAATTAGATTCTTATTTAATTTAATAGAACTAAGTTATATATATTTCGAGTTAAATCGGGTCACGGGTGCAGGTTTTAACTAGAAATATTAGATCAGATTTGACATCTTAAACCCGATTCAGGTCAAGAGCATGTAGACAATTTCAATTTTCGACGGGATTGGGTGAGTTAAAAATTTGACCCAACCCATTACCATCCTTAATTCTGATTGATCAATTTATTTATTTTTGAATAATCTCGGATAATTATAAGATAATACATGTTTATAATTTTTACATCCGCAAATGAACCTACTCAAACCCGAAACTTAGAGGATAAATATATAATTCAGCGTTTAGGGAACGGTCAATTAGGGTTAAAGCCAGAGCTCATGCCCTAACGTCATGATAACATGAGAGAGGCACGGGAAAGTGACTCGAACCCTTCAGATCGCATTCACAAGTTTCGTTGCAGTCACGGGGGAAAAAAACCCATTCTGTTTCATGGAATGGGTTCAATTCAAAACCACTTTTTTTTTCCTGTAAAATGTGTTGCGGTTGATGTTGCTGTAAACATGTATTGAACCAATTTCTGTGCAAATGTTCCAAGTCTCTGCCAAATGGCTCCTATGTCCTGTTTTATGCTAAGCAAGAATATCAACTTCTTGTATCCATTGCAAGGAAGACGGGGGATTAAAACAAACAGGGATAGGTCATGTTTTTGTTTGAATTGCCTTCTAACCGATGTCCAAATTTGAACGAGACAACCCTGTTTGACGTGTTTCAAAATTCTTGCTTTCAACCAACACAGATTAATTTAAAGCTAGCCACCCCGAGAATTATGTTTCAACCACCACAAAGCAACCTTAACTCCTTCCCTGCTGCAAGTTAATAGTTTAAACTGCTAGACACATTCATGGCAACCGGCATCATTGAGGCACATAAACAGCGACGTCAAGTTAAACAGGTCAGGGAACAAGTTGCCTTCAGGCTGAAACACCTGTTTCATACTCGGAAATGAATTAAATGATCCCAGAATGGCTTTAAATTCAAAGTTAACATCCACCAATAAAATAAACTGAAAAGCATAGGGCATGCTTGTTCATCAATGAAAGGCACACCTAGGAGGAAAGTAGATGCATGGTCAGTGACCTCAAAGCATATCAAGAAATAGGCCTATAGGCTGTTCAATCATACAAAAACATGTTTTTGCTCCTAAAGGCATTTGTGATTTAGAACTGATAACAAAATTTATCAGAAAATGAAGTTACAACATCAGAAACAATACCAAAGAATGTCAATCCTGTAAGAGTTCAAGCTACAGAATATAACAGCAGCAAGTTTGGGTCTTGTTATCAGTCCATATTAATGCAGCAAAAGCATATATATATATATATATATTAAGATTACATAGAGAGAATTTTATTCTCTTAAACCATCCCAGAAACAATACTTTTCCCTCACTCGTTCCTATACAATTCCAATCACAATTTTCTCATTTTTATCCAAAATCTCCTCTTGGATTCTTTCCCTCCATTGAATGTAACCAAAAGTTTACAAAAAATATAAAAAAGGCAAGATATTGTAGTGAACGACAAAAAGGAAAAGAAAAAGGCAATCAAAATGAATTCCATCTTATCTTTTGAAAATTGAACTTATTGATGTCAATGTGCCGCGAGCTGTGCCTTAGATCTCTTCTTGGCCTCGCTGTAAAGCACCACCCCCATTATTGTAACGGCGAATCCGGTCATTCCCATCACGGTCACCGGATTCCTAAAGATCATAACCGATACACTCGCTGCCAATGCGGCTTTGGCGTTGCCCAACACCTGCAAAGTGAGAGCACTTGTATGCTTAGTAACCAAAAAATTTGTCAAATTCACCAAATAGGCCACCGTAGCATCCCCAAGCAACAAGAAAATAATGAAAGAATCAATCCTAGCTTTCTCTAACGTGACGCTCGCAACGTTCCCTTCGATGTATAGAGTAAATGGTAACAATATCATGGCGGCCACAGGCGCCATATACAACAACAAGTTCATCGAGTGTAGCTTCTCGGCTTCACTGGTTAACAATATCCCTTGAACTACGGATTTCAAGGCACGACCAGCGGTGGAACCGATGCAGACCAAGAAGCCAAAAAGGTTAAACAGGGGTTCACTATTGCTACCCAATACGATCCCAAACACCACGGGCAAAAGTGCGAAATAAACCTTGGCGGATTCCTTCTTGCAAGTGATTAAGAAAGCGAAAATGGCGGTGAAGAAAGGCGTCGTAGCACCAATAGCTTGGTTAAACGACACCGGAATGTACCTTAAGGAAGTGTTCCCGCACACCACAGAGAAACAAAAGATGACGCTCAGAGCAAAGATCTTGAGGAACTGCTTCCTCGACAAAATGTGCTGCCTTGGGACTATTTCGAGGAAGTTTATGGCTACGTAGCTGTAAGAAGCACATGATATCATGTGAAGCATGGTAAGGAAGATTGGATAACGGTAGCCATAGAAGCTGAGGAGATACTTGTTGAGTAAAAGGACCCCAATGTTGGACATGAACCAGGAAGCAATGATAAGTGCCGTCAAAAGGTTAGGAGAGAGATGAGATCCAACGGTGTAGATGTTGTTCCTAACGTCCGCAGTTGGGGTCACCGGAATGTCCAGAACCTCGTGGTCGGCAGTGGCCGTTGAGTCCAGTTTTGGGTTGCTCATCCGCCTTGTAGTCCATGTCTGCGCTTCCACCATCTGGCTGTCTTGGGATGACGGTAAAGTTGGTAACTTTGAAGCTTAAAGACTCAAACTTGTGTTTATGTGTGGCCGTTTAGATCTGATAGAGTCAAAGAGAGGAGGATATGCTTGAGTAAGGTCATCTGGTGGAGATTTAGATTTGAAAATTAGATAAACGGGAAGCGTTGGATTAGAAGAAAAGGGAGGCAATAGCTCCAGTTAGATTTGGTGGTGTGAAATGAGTATTAAAGTTGGTAGGAGTGTTGTCGGTAATGGATTCGCCAGCAAGCAAGACTGGTCTGAATCTCAACTCTGACCATTTATTCCTTTTATTCTTTTTCTAATACATTTAACATATTAACTAATTTTTTAATAAAATATTAAACAATTAAAATAAATAAAAGTAATAATTAGAATAGTAATCGTGTAATTTATCTTTAAATAAATTATAATTTATTTATTTTTATCAATTTCATAATTTAATTCAAATACATTTCTATGCAATTTATCTAAATTTTATAATTTTGATAACCTACAAATAAACACTTATTGCATGTGATTGAACATAACAATTGGATTCTTCAACAAAAAAAAAGAACATAACAATTGGAAACAATTATTTTTCTAAACAATTGTTTAAGAGAATTCTTTTTAAAGATTTTGGTCTTATTTTCATTTTAGAGTTTAATTGTTAAATTACGAAACACGAATACTTAACATTTTTCTCCCTTATATATATATTGTTAAGAACATAATCCTCAAAGATTAGACGTTTTCAATTCAAATTCATATTGGTCTAAGACAAGATCTTAACTATCTCATCTTTCTTTTTAACTTATTTATATCGAGTATTATAGATGTTAGTTATAAAAGTGACATTCCCAACAAAATTTATTCTATTCACGATGACAGGTTATGAACCATATCCTCTCTTTTTTTATGTATGGTTCATATCCCCTATTCATTTAAGGTGTAACATTTCACCTAATCTTATTAGGATGATACTTTAAATCATCATAATTGTCTATTTTAATTATGTATAATCAGACGATTAAAATTAGCTCTGTTATCATTTGTTACGAGATAAATGTCTTCGCTATAATAAAAATATTTGATAAACTACAAAATGTCTACTCTTTCAAAATTCTACTATTTCTTTGTGAAATGGGATTTAATATCTCGAACAATTCATAATTACAAAGTGTTTTAAGTAGTAGGGTTATCTAAGATTTGAATGCAGGATGAGGTGTTAAATGAAGATGTGTAATATAGAAAGTTTGGCATATGATTCGACGACAGCATTAAAAAGAGTCACCCATGACCAAAATCAACTGCAACTCCATAACTATCGTCACAATTCCAAGCTTAGAACACCATCACTGCTCAACTGCCCTTTTCACCAAGCAACCCACCACCTAACCTACAAACACCATTAATGTCCCTCCCATCCCAGACATTACATCAAAAAAGCAACTAAATCGAAAGTTATTCCTAAAACTCTTGAAACTGCAGTGCCGGTGAAGGCTCAGATTTTGGATTGCTTCCTCGAAGAACACTCTTTGGAGAAAAACCGATAAAGCCAGAAGAGAGATTGCTGCCATTGTTGCTGCTGCTACTGCTACTATCGTGCTGCAGTGAAATGGAGAGGTTGGTGTCAGCACTTCGATGGCTAACACGACTACTGGTGGTGGTTGCTTGAGAAGCTTCCACGAGCTTTCTTGAACGCAGGCGGCCTCTGTGCATGTGTCTCTCGCAGTATTTGTGATCCGGAACTGCTTCTTTGCTGCACCTCCATTTCTTCCCATCTGTTCGTCTACATCTTCCTGGCTCTGGATCGACTCCATTCTTGTACTCCAAGGGGAATGATCCACAACCCAAATCTGGACCAACATCGAACAAAATGGTTAACCAACAAAAAAATATACGGTAGGGAGATGGGTTTTGGGTACTCACATCCGGAGTAGAGTTGATAAGGGCTGCCGAGGAGTCCGCCAAGAGAACCGGCAAAACTTTTCCAAATAGGGAGGAGAAGGTGATTAGGGATAGGGAGACCAGCTTCCATGTACTTGTAGATGAGAGATTGGAGCTGTAGTTCCTGCAGTTGAAAAACTGTGAACCCACATGATTTTGTGAACCCGGTTGTTCTATGACTAGACCCACGTCCAAGCTCCAGACCTAGCCCGATTGGAGGCGACCCTTCACCTCCTCCACTCAACATATTACCACTCTCCATGTTCCAGGAATCATTCATATTTGTAAGTCCAATGCCTGCAAAAAAAAGAAGTTACAAATGCATGATAACCAAAGGTTCTTTTTTTTTTTTTAGAGTAAAAAGAGAGATTATAAAGGAAGATACTGAAGAGTACCGAAGTCAGCAAAACGGGCAATTTTGTGAGATGAGTGTTGAGGTTCCATTTTCTTTTATATCAGTATGTGCACAAATCAGAGAAAAACAAAAGGGTCAAACTCAAAGCAGAGGTTGCAGTATGAACTGCAACATACACTGAATTAACAGTAGTAAAAAAGGTAAAGAGATATACACAAGATTCTGAAAGTTGCAGCAGTAGGAATAGATTTTTCAAGTCAGAGAAAAAAAAGTTTAGTTCATGGCAGAGATGGAGTGAATGGGGATGGGTGAGGGGAGGGTATCTTCTTAAATGAGTTTTTCAATATAACAAAAACAGAAAATAAAAAATGAAAATTCTGTGTTTATAAAACTGACAAATGCAGCAAATGACACCAAGCAAGCACGCCCCAGTTGTCTTTCTTTGAATCCTTGTTCCTATCCAAACACAAAGTGAGAGAGAGATTAAAGTGAGACTGAAACTGTTCTGACATGTCAGACAAACTGTGCAGGGTGTTTGCAGACACAAACGCGTATGTCAGGAGGTCATGAATCGGGACAAGTAGAAAACTTGGGACCCGCGGAATATGACAAAGAGACAGTCTACTTTTTTTGGCCTTTTCCCCCTCTTAAGAACAAGCAACAGTTTGATTTTCATTTAACATCAGGCGTGAGTACCGGGACTTAAAATTTTGATATGATCCTTGAAGAGAGTTATGGCCGATGGGTGGATGAGTAGGATTTGGTCAGTAGTTGCTGTTTCAAATTTGGTTGATTTACCTTGTGTAGCCCATTTCTGGCATTTCCAAATTAAGCAGCTTAAACTTAAATGATACACTGAATTCAACCTTTACAAATGCTGCATTACAGATTTCAAATATATATATATTAGCATCCTAATACTGGAATTTTAAAATATGAAACTAAAAATGACCAAATTAAAGTAGATGGTCTAAATCCACAAGTTATACATGGTACAAGTACCACTCATAGAATTTAACCTTTTTTTATTTCAAGTGCAACAAAGAAACTATTCATAGGATAACTTTTTAACATTAGGGTGTATGTCACAACTTTCATTCTGTGATTGTTCAAGTGAATTCCATATATAAACATAAATGAAAAGAAAGATCTGCTTGCTTACACTGTCCATGATGAGAAGCTGGATTTAGGAGTTCTTTGCAAATCAGACATTGTAGAGGTAGAGCTAGTACCTTTTCTTCCATTAGTACAGCAAGCTCAGACATGGAATCACCCATGGTTTACTCGTACAAAAATGTCATGTGATTTCCCTGCAAGACCGATAGAGGAGGATCTGGGTAGTGCAAGTCATGAGAAAGAACTAGGGGTTTGTCTCAGCAAATCCTCTAAAGGATACTAACATAGAAAGACAACACATACACCCTGGTTCGTGGCACGGCATCAAGCAAACTGGGAATTTGGAAAGAATCATCCTTTGGAGAAGTGTCATAATCAGCATGCTGGACTCTCGAAATCTCGTCTAATCGTCCTTGATTCAGTGATGAAGGAATGTTGCCTACCCGACCAAACTGAACAAAAGGTGTGAATATCACAGTGGAAATGGGTAACTACCAACTGATAAATAGGGACAAGGGACTCCCACAGCCAGCATCGCTACAGGTCAGTTTATGAGCAATGTCTATGTTGAGATGCTTTATAAACTGCCAAGTGCGAAAGATAACGAAACTGGGATGCTTGCACTTAGATCAGTCGAGTACCAAGAAAAACACCATATACTATACCATAAGGAGTGCTAAACTATTCTTCGTTTTCTGTCGAACTATGATCTCTCCTTCCTCAGATACACACCAAGGACTGTACACATGCTGTGAGGCAAATTCATCCTATGAAATTATGGTTACAGCTCCAAATGGAGTTGATTGTGAAGCTTGGTATACTATACTTCTTAGAGTTCACCAGAAGTTAATAACATTTACTCAAGTAATATTGGATGTCATCACAAATTTGTAACATCTTAATCTGTGTTGTTCAGTAACATGGCGAAATTGTCATCCTGATGAACCAGACTCTCCATTTTCATGAAGTAACTATATTCAACATCGAATGCTAGACATTTGGAAATAAGCATGGGGGTATAAACATCCAAATATATAAACAAACTGAAAAACTAATCATAATTATGTAAAACACATACCCATACCTGACACCCATTATAACCAAGCATAGGTGTGGACTACCCATAAAAAGAAATTTCTTAGTGTCATTCCATGTGCCAAAGAAGTCCATACAAAGTGCATTATATAAAATACTACTCCTATAAACATTGGAACTCAGCCTGCTTGGTGCTTAAATCAAGGTAAATTTCTAGAAAGAGAGAGATACAAAGTCCAAAAAAGAGCATACAAAATTCAGAAAGTTGTTCAAAAAGGAGTTCCATATGGTTTAACTTTTCAAATCCCTACCTCATGCATTTTCAAGAGTTCCAAAAAGTTAGCTACTATTAACAACATAAAACAAATGAGGTTGGGAACTAGGGAAGACCAATAACTGACTATAAGAACGGTTGTTCCTGTAAAAACACTCTTTACATATTAGTACTTATTTACTGATTCTCAAGAATGCTGCATCAGTTATTGAAAATCAAGTCACCTATAGCAGACTAAGAAAGAAAAAAAAATCATTCAAGAAACAATATGAATCTGGTCAAGTATAGTAGACTAAGAGCTCCCTCCCTGACTGAAACATGAAAGAAGAAAAAGGTATACGGCCTCAGTAGCTCGTTACCAATCCATTTATGGCGAGCGACCCACATTTACAGCTGCATGATGCCAGTGGGAAATGCTTGCAATTTGACTCTCATCAACCAAATCCAAGAGGAACATCAGGGTCATCATCATTGACATCACATGGCTGCTTCTGGTCGACTTCTTAAGAAAAGCCAGGTGACACTCCAACATCAACATCATCTTCTTCCTGCCCTACCTGTGAGTGACTGGATTGTGCCTCACAGTTTTCCACAGCTCCATCATAAGGCCTAGGGAGGTGCTGCTTTGCCTTGTGTTACTGTTGACGGTGGTTGCTGTGACAATTATTTGACAGAGAGAAACCTGGTGGTTCTTTTGGGTCACCATCAGATAATGTCTCATCAACTCTTATAGCTGTAGCCTTAAAGGTACCATTATTCTCAGATTCCTTTCCAACACGTACTATTTCATGTATGGATGATTCACCCTTCTCTTTCCTGTGAGGATTAGCTAATTTACTGTAAACAGACTGTATTGTTTCTGTAATTTGGCTTCTGATCGCGCCACCTTCTGATCTTTTTATTTCCCATTGGCCATCCGAAACATTAGAAGTATCAAATTAACAATGACGATTTTGCATAAATGATAAATGGTAATCAACTGACAAAAACTTATAAAAGCTGGTGAAGTATAATTGAATAGCAAAGAGAATTCTGAGTTAATATTCTTCCTGTGAGGATTAGCAGCTTCTTTTACACAAATTAAAATGTTAATGACGATTTTGTAAAGAAAAGAAAAAGAAAAATTATAATAATTAAAAAAGGGTAAATTACAAATATAGTAACTTAACTTTACACTCTCTCATATTTTACTCACTAAACTTCAAAAGATTGCAATTTAATAATTAAACTTTATATATTGATTTTTTAATCACTCTGCTGTTAAAATATTTTACTCACTAATTTTAAAAGTTTTCAATTCAATAATTAAACTTTATACATTAATTTTTTTAATCACTCCGCCCATTAACCTTTTAACAGTGGCTTAGCTTCACCATCCAAGCAAAAAAAAAATGTTTATTTCCGGCATCTTATGATCTCCCTCTTGTTAGCTCAACAACAAACTTACCTCTTTCGTTTCTGTCTCAACGCCATAGTTTTTCCACCAAACGCCACTTACGGAGCAAATCTCCGAGACTGAAGAAAAAGAAAATGATGGAAAAGCACGTTGTCGTTAGCTGGGGCCACCACCACCACTTACATACCACTGGCTTTTGGCTCTTCTCTCAGTGCTTTATGTTTCAACGATTTTTGCCTTCTCCATGAGAGCCACCTTCGACTCGTGTGATCGAAACATTTCTGTTGAGAAACGAACTCCGCAGATCGCTGCTGCGAAGCCGAGTCCGCTCAGTTTCATGAAGTCGAAAGTCGTTCTGCTGGTGTCGCATGAGCTCTCGCTTTCTGGTACTCTCCTTGTTTTTATTTCTGTTAATAGCTCTCAATCTTCCATTTTTTAGGCGAAGGGGGACATAAATGCCTTGATCCAAAGAATGATGCAAGGTCTTACTTATTAAATGGAATCAGCCTCAGACCAACCTGCCTCCTACGAAAGTGATCGGATCGAACTGCTTGTGTTGTTTGAATTCTTGGTGATTGACCAAGCACTTGGGAGGACGGACTTTGTATTTGGTTTGGTGTTGGCAACAGAAGTACACTGCTTTCTCCTAAAGCTATCCATCTTGCTTCTTTCTTTGATGAAAACTCGATCGGATCAACCGCGCAACCAAGAAAGATCAAATCGGAAAGGAACCTGAATCAAACACTATCACTATGAGAAAAGCTCTTCTAATAATAAACTACACCATCCTTTCTATAGGCAAATGTGCGGGTCCACTTATGATGCGCCTCTACTTCATCCATGATGGGAAACGAGTTTGGTTCTCAAGCCGGCTTGAGACTGGTGCTTGGCCCATCATCATTCTCCCAGTCGCTTATGCTGACTTTCACCGTTCTAGGACACAATTCAGTTCCCAAAACAAGCTTTTCTTCATGAAACCCTACCTGTTCCTTGCTGTCGCCATTATTAGAATAATGAAAACAAGCTTATAGACTTAACGACTATAAGACCTTACAACTTTATGTCTTATTGCATGGAGCAGGGATTGGCATCATAAATGAAATTTTATTACTTCTATTTTTTTGGCTACATCCCAATAGACATCCTAAAACACTTCTTAATTAACATATTTGGATAATGAAAACAAGATTGACATGCATGCGATGAAAATGTTGGAAAATTTAATGAGACTAATTAATTATAAGTCATGTCACTTGGTGAATAAACTTAATTTTTGGTTTAAGGTTGCATCCATTAAGTCATACCTACTCAACAATTCTCTTCATAAAAAAATTAAATCATTTTATAAAAAGGTTAAGCCATTTCAACAAAAGGAGAAGTCTTTTAATAAAAAGGTTAAGTCTTTTCATCGAAATGTCTTAACCTTTCAATCAATTTCCTTTCCCTATATACAGGCTAGTTGAGGCACAATGAGACACAAGTTACACAAGTTTAGAACTTCGGAATAGGAAAAACACTTAGAACATTCCTTACAAATTCGTTCTTTACGGCGATAGAGAAATGCAAGATTGTGTTCGAATGATCACTACGGTTGTGATCGTTTGTTGTTGTATCTTGGGAGACCGACGTCCAACGTTACTCAAAGCACATAGGAGATGACGAATCTGTCTGAAGGAAACTGTTCATACATGCCTCAACAAAAATCATTATTCGGTTTATCTTACTCTACTCATCTGATTACGTGTCTACACATGAGTAACAAGTTTCATTCTTATATTTTAATTCTTTATAATTATTTTGTTTCTTTCGATTATATAATAACAATATTATTATTATTTTTATCTCGGATTAACCATTTTGTCTAACAATCTTAAGACATACTTTGATAAAAAAAATTAATCCGAGACGAACGAGCAAATTATTTTTGAGTTTAAGATCAAACAGATTACAGATAGATACGAGACAATCAAATTATTAAGATGAGCGAAGTGGAATCAAGTTCACAATCACTATGGACGGTAGAATTTACGATTCATCTGAAATAGTTTGGAAACACAATTTCAGTAGAGGATTTTGTACGGTGATTCAGTCCTACTTACAGACATTCATGTAATGCTTGCCATGATATGATGCCTTGGTGTCTAAGACAAGAATGTGGTTCCACGGTGTTTGCTGCTTTAGAATCTTGAGAATTGACAATTCATTTCAAAGACATAATTCATTCAAATTGTTTTCTTTAGTCTACAAGGCAAATTACTGGAACAAGCATTAAGGTACCTAGAATATTATATTCTTTGGAAACTTTTAGTTTGTGTGGTTTGATAATTTGCAGGACCGTCACTTGTTTCTTATTTGGACCTTCACAAACGTAGTTTGGTTGTGGCAATTTGGTTATCAACGTGCCTTGGAAGTTACCAAGTGGGTATTGTTGTGATGCGGTTCGGTTCAAAGCATATTTACCCGAAAAGATTCTAGTCCAAGGAAATGGTCATGTCGATTCAAAAAAATTTACAGGCATGATTATAATTATGAAACATTTCTAATGTTTAGTGTAAGTGCCAACCTTCAATGTTAGGCATGAGCACACTGCACCTTAACCCTCAACTTGTTGGTTCAAGTTTGATTGACAACGAAGATAATAAGGGATCCAAGTATTCCAATGACGAGGAAGTTCCCCATAAATTTTAAAATCTATTTGCATATTAAACGTTCCAAAACCAATTTGCAGGTTTGAAGACAAGAAATTCAATAATTAAGGCATATGTGGTCATGCCCACTAACCTTTGTGAAGTGAAGAGACATTGGTTTGAGTTTGCAGGTTGCATGTCAAAGCAAATTCCAAAAGTAATTTGCAGGTTCAAAGCAATTTGCATTCAATGCAAATTTGTCTGTATTTACATGCAATCCTTGGCAAAGAGATTATGTTGTACTGTGATAAGGTACGTCTGCAAGAAAAAGAAAAAGTTTTCTTGTAACCAATAGTGATTCGATGAATCAAGAAATCAATTAAAATTTTAATGTTGAATCGATAGACCACTGCACCAATGCATTATTTCTCTTTGTAAAACTAGTGTGTTAGTTGTTTGCTATCGGTGATGAGATTATATGTATAAGGCTACTTGTTGGATTAAATCTCTTCAAATTCAAGTTATGCCTTATCCTTTGTGGTTGCGTTGACCCAAAGATCAATGAATAAAGTCTAGTTGACAGCGATGAAATTAATATAAAAAATTCAAGAAAAATGTTGATTTCTACTCAAGCTTTGCATAAAGTTCAACCGTGTCAGTGGTTGTGAGCCACAACGAGAAGCATGTAAAATTCATGGATAGAATTTCAAGACATAACGACATAAGATGTTATATTTAATCATGCTGAATATGGTCAAATATAGGATGATCCTCCTATTCATAGAGAGGATGAGATAGACATTGTTGTCATTAAAGCTTAAAAGCATTCTAAGTTTCTATGTCGGAATTATATCTTGAATGGATTGTCAGATACACCATATGAAGTGTATAATATCCATAAGATTGCCTAAGAATTATGAATGACATTTGGTCATGTCATGAGTTGTCACAGAACATGTGGATGAAGCTATTTTATTAGCAAATTACCTTTAAATAAGGTAACTTACAAGAAAATATGTGAAACACCATATGAGTTATGGAAATGTAGAAAATTTTCCTACAACTACATCAAAGTGTGGGGGGTGCCTTGTATAAGTATAATTGTAAGACGAGACACATAGGTCATCGATATAATATTATTAAACAATTGATCTCGACTAGAGTTATCTATACTGATTTTGTAAGATCAAAAGATAACATTGTGGATTCGCTAAACAACAAGTTGAATCGAGATCATGTTGATAAATGTCGAAAGGAATGTGACTAAAGCCCATAAATATCTAAGGTGCTATATGAAGGAAAACCCAACCTAGTTGATTGGAGATCCCATGATCTAGGTTCAATGGGACAACCTACTTGCATAGACCTTGTGAGGTCACTGTAGGGGTCCTTATCCCAAGTTCATTCCTATGATGAAAATTATGACTACAATGAGGAAAAGGTTAAGCAATGCTTTTAATGACCACTATGTGTTTCGGTGAGTCGAACAACATAAGTCACCTATGTGAGAGTGAAGTGGAGTCGCTTCAAAGAGACTATTGGGGCATAGGTCTCTAAACTCTTGCAGAACCAGGAGATGTCCACGGCTATATGGACATAACCATGAGAACAAAATTATTGTCAATGAGATATTTGTGTGAGGTATGTCATCACTTACACTAACGATAGGACAGTTCAAGGACATCACGTCTATTGGACAACCAGTAAGGTAAACATATTTTCACAAGGGAAAGTTCAAAGGGGGACGCCTACCTATCATATGCAAATATCGAACGTAAAATCTATCACCATATCGAGTCGGTGTTTGAATCATCAGGTTCATTCATGTGGGGGATTGTTGGAAAAAATGAATGAATTGATGCTATTTATAACTAATTAATTATAAGTCATTGTCACTTGGTGAATAAACTTAATTTTTGGTTTAAAGTTGCATCCATTCAATCATATCTATTCAACAATTCTCTTCATGAAAAGATTAAATCCTTTTATGAAAAGGTTAAGCCCTTTCATCAAAAGGAGAAGTCTTTTAATCAAAAGGTTAAGTCCTTTCATTGAAAGGTCTTAACCTTTCAATCAATTTCCTCTCCCTATATATAGGCTAGTTTAGGCACAATGAGACACAAGTTAAACAAGCTTAGAACTTTGGAATAGGAAAAAACTTAGAAAATTCATTCCAAATTCGTTATTTCCGGTGATAGAGAAAGACAAGATTGTGTTTGAATGATCACTACTGTTGTGCTTAATGTTGTGATAATTTGTTGTTATATATTGGGAGACCGACGTCCAATGCTGCTCAAATCACCTAAGAGAAGATGAATATGTCTTAAGGAAACTGTTCATACAAGCCTCAAGAAAAATCCTTCTTCGCTTTATCTTACTCCACTCATCTGATTCTGTGTCTACACATGAGTAACAAGTTTCATTCTTCTATTTTAATTCTTTATAATTATTTTGTTTCGTTCGATTATATAATAATATTATTATTATTATCTCGAATTAACCATTTTGTCTAATTAAAAAAAACCCATATCTTTTTATGTGAGAAGGAAAAACTTTTTCCTTTAAATTGTGTTTTTACGAGTGGTGACCATCCCATGAGGATTTGTCGAGGTAGTACATGCAAGGGAAGCATCCATAGAACGCAAAGAAAGAAAAGGTTCGGGCCTTGCAAAACTATTATGGGCGGTACGAACGGTTTCACTGTTATTTATAGCAATACACTTAGGGTGTGTTTGGTTTACGGAATGTAAGATTATCAGTGAGAATGTAAGATTACCAGGGAATACGATTACTGAGAATATTGTATTTTTTTGTTTGGTTGGTTTAGCAGGAATGTAAGATTACCGTGTTTGGTTAAAAGAATAAAATATTATTGAAATGTATATTTGATCAAATTGTCCTTATTATATATTTATTTTTTTAACAAGTTGAAAAATATTTATATATTTTCTTTAAAAAATTTAAATTCATAAAATTTATATATATATATATTTTACAAAATTAAAAATATAAAAAGGTTGAATGAAAGGGTAAAATTTTATTTTAACACATGAACTTCATATAAAATTTTAATTATAAACTTTTTTTTTGTAAATCTAAAATATTTTAAGGATAAATTTGTAATTTAACATTCGTAGAATTTTTATTATTCAATAACAGAATAATGATATTTTTGAAGAAGAAAAAATTTAAGGGCATTTTAGTCCAAAACGTCGGTAATCTAACAATACCTAAGGAAAGAGATGTAAATAACATTTCCGGTAATATACTCTAAAAAATTCACTATTAGTAATATAAGATTACCACTATTGGTAATGTAAAATTACCGAAAATAACATTTCCAGCCAACTAAACGAAAGAATGTGGATCTCATTCTTATGAGAATCTCACATTCTCCTAACTAAACACACCCTTAAATTCGGAATGGAAGCATCAAACTTTGTCTGTGGGGGACCTACGAAATTTTCAGTGTTAACTGTTCCATTCCCATAAGAAAAATGAGTAGGAAAAACAAGAGAGAGAAAGACAAGGTTGACTTATCAACCCAAAATTCTGAAGGTCTTAAAAGATGACTGATTTTAATATTAAAATAAGCCAGGTAATAAAGCCGTAACTCTGACTAAAAAAACTAATGTATTATTAAAACAATGTCGAGACTGGGCCATTTGACAGAATAGCAGCTCTGCACCATTTTAATCGAAGTCCAAACAATGATGATAAGAATTATGTGTGCCTCTGTTTTGTGATAAACAAACCTGGAATTATGGATTCTCAACAAAATCTCTCCAAAACTCTGCCTCTTCTTCTTGTCTTTCGCTCACCTTCTATGCCTCCTTTCTTCTTCAAATCCCAGTTACAAGCTCATTTCCATCTCCTCGACCCGCTCGACTCCTCCGAACCATATCATTCTTTCCTCACCCGGCATGCTCCTTCCGTGCTTGCCCTTCTCTGCGTGGGAAATACTCCAGTCTCCTCAGAAACCCTTTCCCTTCTTCCTTCTTTGAAGCTCGTTGTCGGTTCAAGTGCTGGACTTGACCACATCGACTTGCACGAATGCCGCCGCCGAGGCATTGCCGTCACAGACGCTGGTCAAGCATTTTCCGAGGATGTTGCAGACTTTGCTGTTGGGCTTCTAATCGATGTTTTCATACGAATGTCAGCCGGTGATCGGTATGTTCGGTCCGGGTCGTGGGTCACAAAGGGAACATACCGACTTGGTGGCAAGGTAATTATTACGTAAACTGCAATTTCAAACGACTGCGACATTATCGTATAATAGGGGCTTAATACAAAAATAATGCCTAAATTTTATTAAAAAAATAATTTGATATTTAAAGAAAATTTTATTAAAAATAAGTGTTTAACGGTTTTTTAATTACACTTTTAAGGTTTATTGTTATTTTTTTTAATATTTTAATAATAAAAAATTAATTTAAAATAAAAAATTAATTTATTTATAAAAAAATCTCAAAGTTTTAATGAAATTATATAAAAAAATTCTAGAAAACTAAAATATCTCTTTCAACCCCACTACCAACCGTCGTTGGCTATCTCTAGCCATCATTATTGTCGAACACTTGGGTTTTTGACCAAAATTGCATGGTGATTTGAATGTTGGTGGCGGTGTGACTTATGGACGTCGGGATCGATTTAAATTGATGAAAAACAGTGACAATGGCTTAAAATCTAACAAAGCTTTGAACGCTTCTCCACGACAAACGATGTCCATTTACGATGAAACGCCAACGGGAATTTAATCAGGGGTCGACGCCAATGCTGATTAAAGTGGTGGTGACGGTCACGGCTAACCGGCCGATGGAGGGGGAGGGGATGAACTTTTTGGGTTTTTTTAATAAAAAATATAATAAAGAAATATTTTTGTTTTTTAAGTTCTAAAATAAATTTTCAAAATTACCAGAACGTGACACATGTCATTTAACAATCAAATTTAACGGCCATTACGGTTCAGACACTTAAAAGTGTTTCGATGAAAATGTTAGGAACCTATTTTTAGAGAAAAATTCTTTAGGCACTTATTTTTTACGAAAAATTGTTTAGGCACTAAAACGTTTCGAGGAATAGTTTAGGCACTTATTTTGTATTAAGCCTATAATAGGGTAAATTGTCAAAATGATCTCATTTGTATCATTTTTGTTTACTTTTAGTCATTGATTTTAAAAAATTAATGTTTCGATCACTTACGTTATTAATTTACAATATTTTGGTAATTGGGGTGTTAAATGCCGTTTAGCTTGATGATATTACAAGGATTAATTTTTGAAATAACTCTTAAATTTTAGATAAAATACAAATTTAACCCTTAAACTTTAGATAGAAAATTAATCTAATCTTATCTTTTAACTTTAGTAATAAGGACAATAAAAATATAGACCCGTTTGTGATTACTATAACATAAATATAGATTTCTAGTATTTTTTTTCCAAAGAATATTAATGATGAATTTATTATTATGATTAAATTTGAATGAAGTCAAGGATTCTAAGTTAGATTTAAAGATTCCAATATATTTTTTTTGATGAATCAAGCATTTAACTCGTATTCATGAGGTCAAAAGTAGGGAATCAAATTTTTTTGTCCATCGATCGTTGACGATGACAGTTGATAGGACTGATGGCGGGGGACTTTGGTCGGATTAAAGGGTTAAATTGATATTTCACCAAAAGTTTAAAGGTAAAATTAATATTTTATCTAAATTTTAATGGTCAAATTAGTATTTTATTTAAAATTTAAAGAACAACTCAAAAATTAACCTCTTTTATTAATATATTACGTCATCAAACTAACCTCATTTAATGTCTCAAAAATCAAAATGTTATAAATCTATAACATAAATAATTAAAAAGTTATTTTTCAAGGCTTAATTAAAAAATAAGTGTCTAAACTATGTCTCGAAAAATATTTTAGTGCCTAAATTTTTTTCACTAAAACTAGGTGCCTAGCATTTTCATCAAAGCGCTTTTAGGTGTCTGGATCGTAACAACTGTTAATTTTGGTTGTTAAGTGACACGTGTCATATTCTGGTAATTTTGAAAATTTATTTAAAAAAATAAATAAATTTTTTTTATTATTACAAAAGAAACCAAACAACATATTGTGTCCCCCTCTCCTCCCCTTGCCTCTTCCCCTTCCATAGTCATCGGTAGGTCAGTTGCGACCGTCATTACCACCTTTAGCAGTACCGACGTCGACCCCAATTAGACCATCGATCAAACCTCCGTTGGATTTTTGTCGTAAACTGTCACCGTTTGCTGTGGAAAAATGTTCAAAGGTTCGTTGGATTTTAAGTCACCGTCTCTGTTTTCATTGATTTAAGCTGATCCCGATGTTTATAAGCCAGACCGCCACCACTATTTGAACCACCGTGTAATTCCGATCAAAACCCAAGTGTTCGGCGACGGTTGGTAATAGGGGTTGAAATGAGATATTTTATTTTTAGAGTTTTTAATAATTTCATTAAAATTTTGGGGTTTTTTTTATAAATAAGGTAAGTTTTTTTTTTAATTTTTTTAAAAAAATATTTTTATTATTAAAAAAATAAAAATATAATTGTAGACACCTAAAAGTGTAATTGAGAAAACGTTAGACAACTATTTTTAACAAAAATTTCTTTAGACACCAAATCATTTTTTTGGATAAAATTTAGACACTTACTTTTGTTTTAAGCCTTCTTTATAAAGCAATGGTTTGATAGTTTATCCCTAATATTATGAAAAGCATAAGGCCAACCATTGTATATTGTGGGTTTTACGAATTCAATTAATGATCGATAAGTCTTAAAGCTAGATATGTAATCTTTGATTCATAGTTGCAGTTGAGTGGAAAGCGAAATGGAATTGTGGGGCTTGGAAGAATCGGGTCCGAGGTTGCAAAAAGGCTGGTAGCATTTGGTTGCAGCATTGCCTACTGCTCTAGAAAGGAGAAGCCATTAGTCCCTTACGCTTACTATTCCACCGTCAATGACCTTGCAAAGAACAGCGATGGTCTCATTCTTTGTTTTTCTTTGACAAAAGAAACTCACCACATGATCGACAGTGGCGTCATGGAAGCGTTAGGGAAGGAAGGAGTGGTCATTAACATTGGAAGAGGGGCTTTGATCGATGAGAAGGAACTGGTGAAGTCTTTGGTGCAAGGGCGAATCGGTGGAGCCAGTCTCGATGTTTATGAAGACGAACCCTCTGTGCCGCAAGAGCTGTTTGCGATGGAGAATGTTGTGTTGGCCAGGGATTCAAATAGCGGAACGCAAACACTATTGCGGCCGCTATTTCGCGATAACGCCACCGTCCGAAATTGATATTAATGAATTTCGCGGTGGGTAGCGGATTCACGTTGATAGTGCTCTATCTGAAATCTAATGGGTAACGGTGGATATCGTTGATAATGGAACGCTATTAACGCTATTCCACCGTTACTGCCAAAATAATAAGAAAACCTAAATTTACACCTAAAAAATCAAGAGTGAAAGCATATTAATTATCAAGAATTCAAAATCAACTCACCAAAGAGGCAAAGATTAAAAAGGAGAGGGGACAAACAGGCAAAGACAGTTATTTTGGAAGAAAATCTTGCATCTGTTATGTTTTGCCGCCGATGAAGAAGAGGAGAAACAGAACGAGCTTCCATTGAAGGTAAAAAATTAAAAGCTTTAAAGATTTGTGAGTCAAAAAAGTTGAGAGAATTGGAATGAGATTCGAGAGAGTTGAGAGTTGAGAGAGCTGTGAGTAGAAAATAAAAGAATAAAGGTTTTGAAATTTTCCTCACTCCTGAAGCCTTAAAAGATTTTTTTGCCCGTTCTACTCTCACCCTCATATTTTTATTTTTAAATTAATTCTAAAATTTAATGATATGTTTATTTGCCATCACTTCCTCCAATCTTTTAAAATCTAAAATTTAGTCTTTAGTTTAGATTATAAACTTTAGATTTTATTTAATTTAGCCCTAATTTCAGTAATATAAATTTCTACAGTTTAAATTTTATACTTTTATTTTAATTCTATTTGATTTAGTAATCTTATCCTATCATCGGATTTTTAAAGTCTTTTATTTGATTAATATATATATATATATATATATGTCAATTTTGCTTAAAAAACATTTTAAAAATCTTTAAAATGATTCATTATAATTATAATTATTTTTTATTATGTTTTAAGATAAATTGTCCAAAATTTAAAAAATTCACGACCGCGACACCCGCAGTGAACGCGATGGCATCCGTTATGTTCGCAACCGCGATAAACGCGACGCGACCGAAAACGTGACCGCGAACGCTATTTAAAACCCTGGTGTTGGCTCCTCATGCTTCTGTTTACACTCCAGAATCATCTGCGGCATTGCAAGAGCTGGTTATAGGGAATTTGAAGGCATTTTTTTCTAATGAGCCTTTGCTTTCACTAGCTCCACTTGAATGAAGTTCTTATGTAGAAATGATGAATCATAGCCATCAATAATCCCATGTCTTTCTCTTCATCTTCTTCCACAAGGGTTCTATCCAATGGAGAGCAGCTTTGTTTTGGACGCAGATTGTTCTTACTTTCCATTAAGGCTAGTCTTTGTTCAACAATTATATTTAAGATTCAACAAGTCTGATTCATACATTAGATGACCAATTAACTCAAAAGCTTATGCTTAACTTGGTAGGAAAGGACTCAACCATTATATTTAAGATTCGACAAGTCTGATTCATAGTCATTTGATCATCATTCTTCTCATAGGTGTACAGTGACCTACCGTAGACTATTTGAAGATGTTTAAGTTCGAACTCTTTGTTCACTTCAATTGCGGAACCCCATTGGAGTATTATTCGAAAACTTGGTTGATTACAATGCTAGAGGGAAGTCAAGCTTGATTTGGAGGTATATACCATGTCCACCCTTGAATCCCTCCTTGGAAAGCTTAAAAATATCAGATAGTATACCTAAAAGGCTCACCTAAAATGAATAAGTTCACATAATTTCAAACAAACATATGATCTACAGTCTTCCCTGTCTGCTTAATTGCAAATTGAAATTCTTGTAAACTTTCTGTCCCCTGCCTGGCCGGTGCTTTCAAGTAACCTTCTGACAGAGAAATGACAGTAGTAGTTTACTTTGCAACTCTTTTAACGGACTATGTAATTCCCAGTTTTTAACCGGCTACGGATGCTGGACAATTTACTTCCAGGGATCCACATCAAGATAGCTACTAGCCTACTAACTCATTAAGTTGGAGTGAAGAGTATCATGCATGTTCTAAACATGTTGGGTCAAATTTGCAGCACAGGAGTAGGTTTCGATATGTGCTTCATTGCAGAATGTATATATGTTTATGTAATGTAATATACTTTATAATTATACCTACAACAGGCAATGTTGACAGAAAGTGAAGTGAACAAGCTGTAAGTCTCTGATCCAATATATATTATATTCCATGCCTAACACAAGGTATATTATAATCCATGGCCAGCTAATAGGAGATTTGAGAACCAGAGATTTGTTGAGGTGGGGAACATGTTGAAACCACAAAATTTGATTACTGACGACTGAGCCATAATGCTCCCAAAGGGGAAATATGCCCTCATTTCAACCCCTTGAGCAGCACGCCAGACTATGAAGGGTCATCATCAACCCACTCCCCAAATCATTTCTCCCATCCTTGCACCTCAAAGCTTCTTTACATGACATAAAGCAAAAGGCCTCATGTTTTTGGAAGCTTTTACCAAAATTTCAAGTGAATTTATTAATATATTAGATGGATTTTAGCTGAACTGTTATAACCATCTCAATGGATCAAGTATATTAATTCTACTTGGGACACCATATAATGAAAAGGACACTGAGAACTTTCATTTTTCCTCTCTTCAATCCCTCTTTGCAAAACTTGTTCTAGCCATTCCTCTCATGGAGTCATGGGGTCTCTTTTCTCTCTAACATTGATATTACTTTCATGGGTATCATTGCTCTCGACGGAAGCTGAAGCCGAGGGGATCAAATCAGCTTCTCTTCTAGATCTTCTCATTAGGGACTACATAGTGAAGTCCTTTGACAGGCATTTGAAAACATGCATTGAACAAACTATAAATCTACCTGCGAATTTCTCCGGCATCGAAATCGATACAACAAGGTTTAGATGTGGAAGCCTTCACAGATATGGTGCACAAGTTAAGGAATTTTATCTGGGGAGAGGCGTGAATGTGCATCCCTGTACAGAGAGAGTCGTGGTAGTTAGACAAAACTTGGGTTCTAATCGGTCATCCATCTACTATAACTATGATATTTCAGGTTACTAGCTTGTGTCACCAATATTAGGCCTCCTCGCTTATAATGCCGGCACAGATGCAAGTTCCGGCAGCCCTTTTTGTTGCGGAAGATGGCTATCGGATAGAGAAAAATCGTAACTGATAATTTGAGAAAATAAAAATGAAGATAAAAGAGACACAAAATTTACGTATAAAACTCCTAAAAAATATAGGGTAAAAACCACGGGCAACGGTAGAAAAATTTCACTATGAGAAAATAGGAATTACAACCTCTCTCGATCTACCAAGGAGAAAATAATGATAATTCTCTCTAGATAAAAAGGAGAAAACAACTCTCAAGAAACTCTCTAAAATCTCTCTAGTATTGGAAGAAAGCTAGAATGCTTTGGGATGGTTTTGAAGCTAAATGAGCTAGGGTATTTATAGTTGAAGCTTTAAGGACTAATTTATAAATACCCTAAATTACAATGACTAATTGCATAGTTTTACCATCCAAAATTTTCAACAATTTGGTGGCCAAATTTGACTAATTTTGCCACCCCATTAATGCCACCAAATTGTCACCCATAATGTTGACAATTGATGCAATTTGGTGTGCCAATTTTCAACAATCTCCCACTTGAAGATTTGATTGGAACAATCATATCTTCACACCATTCTTTCTACCTTGTACCTTTCATGTTGCTTACATTTCTGACAGGCCACAGGAGGATCGACACCAGGTAAATTTATCAGCATTGATTGCCTTCGTCATAAAATCTGCTATGTTGTCTTTGGTATGGATCTTCTGCATATCTACCGTTCTTTCTTCCACCTTTTCACGAATGAAATGTTACTGAACTCGTATGTGCTTAGTCCTTGAATGAAATGCTGCGCTTTGACTGTCACAAAATAGAGAGACATACTCTTGATTGTGCCCAAGCTCCTCCAATAGCATCTTCAACCAAATTGCTTCTTTACTGGCTTGTGTAGCTGCTACATATTATGCCTCTGTTGTGGACGTAGCCACAACTGACTGCAATTTTGAAACCCAGCTTACAACTCCACCAGTAACTTTGAACACATATCCTGTAGTAGATTTGCTTTTATCCAAATCCCCTGCATAGTCAGAATCTACATACCCATTGATTAGTAAGTTTGATCCTCCGTAACATAATGCAACATTTGAGGTCCCTTTGATGTATCTTAGGATCCTCTTTACAATATTCCAATTCTCTTTGCCTGGATTCGCTGTAACATCCGCAATACCGGGTTAGTGACCAAATTGTAAAGTTTCAGAATTTGGTGACTAAAGTAGAAGAATGAAGGAATTCAATGATTATTTGAATATATATTGAAGGTTATTTGGTAATTATTAAAGGAAATTAAGGGTATTATGGTCATTTGACCAGAAGGATTTTTATATTTTTTTTAAGGTAATATAAACGTGGGATATGTGAGAACCATCCAGAGTGCTCTTCTCCTTTCTTCTTCTCATACGTGGGAGAGCAAGGCAAAGGTAAGTTTAATTTCAGTTGGTTAATTCTTGAGTTTTAAGCTTAGTTTTGATTCTTTGGGTATTAAATAAGCTTAAGGAAAGCTTATATGAGATTTAAACAATAAGATAAAGGAATTATGAAGGAATTTGCCATATGAGTTTTAAGATGAAATTTTGATATGGTATGGTTGTTGAAGTTTTATGGATGAATTTGACTTGTCATCAATCTAATTAAGAAGTATGAAGTGTTAGAATGGGAATTAGAACACATTGAAAATTTGGTATGATTTTTGAATCTTATATGGATAATATGATTTTGATGTTTAAGATGAAACAAATGAATATAGATTGGTTTAAGTATGTGTACTAGAGTTAAGAATGAAAAGGGGATGATATATGAAGTGTTTGAGTGGAAATGAAGTAATTTTCGGGTTGAAAATATGATTTCTGGGCAAGGGGAATCGGTACCCATTCAAGGGGAACCGATACCCCTTCAAACGAACAACATTTCCAGAATGTCATGAGGGAATCGATACCCCCATAGTAGGGAACCGATTCCCCCTAAAGGAAAATGTGAATATTGGTTTAATAAGTTCGTTTAAATTGCTAGTATCCAATTACAAGGTGTAGGTATCTAATGATTGCCTCAAAATGTACATGTATGTAGATTCTATGCATAAAGCAACTCCGGAACGTTTGGCAAGTAAGATCGATCAAGGAAAGATAACAGATCGATATTGACTAGTGAGGCCAGGTGAGTGCGTACTATTAGAATATACGTATTGTGTATGGAAATTTGACTTGCGACAAGTCTGTTTCCAATATGTTGAATATGATTGTATGATTATGTTTATATTACATGAATATGTTTAGTTGTATTACATGTTAGGTGGTATGAATTTATATGATATGTGTTATATGACAATGATTTATATGATAATAAGAGAAAGGATATAAATTACATGAGTTAGATATATATATATATATATATATATAGGAATTGTATAATCAACTTATGAGATTAAATGAAAAGTGAGATAAGTTAAATAACATTGATTTATAGGGCAATATAAGAATGATATATAAATGAGGAGACATTGACAGAAGTGATTATATGAATATGTAAATAAGTTATATAGAGAGGATATATGAGCGGAAATGAACATATAATACATGAGTCATATGGTAAAGATTTATGAATCTATAGGAAAATGTTATGGGAACTATGTGATGATAAGTTATGAGAAAATATTTATATAGGTAACAAGCTATGTGATATACTTGGTGTATGAGAATCATACAAGAATAAGAGATGACAATGAGTTACATGCCAGATGAACACAAGAGAAGTGTTATAAGCTACGTGACAGATGATTATGAAATCATACGAAAAGTGAAATGTACATGTGAATACATGTTAGTGAAATAAGCTATGTGAACTAGTATAAATATATGTGATTACATAAGTTATGATATAAACATGTGATATAAGATATAAGCTAAAGAATTATAGGATATGAGATAAGACAGACATATGTGGTTATAAGAGACATGATATGAAAAATAGAGAAAAGGAAAATGTGATATGTGAAAGTGAACTATATATATGAATATGAGAAATGATATAAGCCATGTGACATGATCTATATGATTACATGAATATGCAATATGATACATGTGATATGATATGAAGTATATGGTTACACCTACATGTGGTATGTGACAGAAGAGAAAGAACAAGTGATATGAAATGTTTAAATGATAATGCCCATGTTATGTGATATGAGAGCTAGGGGTATAGTTGGCATGCCAAGAGTCGAGGGTTTACCTATGTTCTACGGAACATATGGACAGTTTTACCTATGTCTTTCGAGACATATGGACAGTATACCTATGTTCTAAGGAACATATGGACAGTTTACCGAGGATCTTTATGACCTCTGGACAGTTACCGAGGATCTTTATGACCTCTGGATAGTTACCGGGGTCTGTGTGACCTCTGGATAGGTCCTTCGGGACATTTATATGAGCTGTGGTGACAGCATATTGGTGCACAACCTCAATAGACTCACATATCTACAGTTCTCACAGGTGCACATGGCTAATAAGAGATAACATGGAATGTAATGTATAAGATATATGTAATGTATATACTTATGGTGATATGTCATGTGTTGCTTGAATTATAATGATGTTGATAAAGATAATATACATGGGCAATGCAATTGGAAGACAAATGAAAAGTGAAGTAATACAAGAAGATATGTTGCGTGTGTGTATGACATGATATATATTGTTATCATGCAATAGATACATGCATATTGAAATGTCATGATTCAATGGTATGAATGCACGTTCATGAATTTATTGTTATATGTTTAATTATTGCCTCACTAATTCAACGACTTAGCGTGTGATTGTTTCACACGTAGGTTTCGAGAAGAATAAAGAGTAATGCGGAGCAAGACAGGCCAGTTCTCCTTACCAAATGTCAGATCAGAAAATGTATGTACTGTTTACAGAGTGTAGTTGGCATGTAGTCTAAAGATATAAATGGTATGAACTCTGATATCTGTTGTAAACGTTTTGAATAATTTAAATGTTATCAAAGTTTTTAAATTACCCACTATTTTATACGAATAAATGTTTGAAAAGTCAATGTGACACTTCGGACTCGTATCCGGATCGGATACGGGTTGGGGGTGTTACATTTAATGGTATCAGAGCTAAGGTTTAGCCGATTCTCGGCATAAACCGAAGTCCAAAGTGTCATAAAAGGTGTACATGCCAACATAGATTGAAAAAAAAAATTCTGATCTGATTGTGTAAGGAGTATGTTGTCTTGCTAATAGAATAAGAATAGTTTAATACAGTAGAAATCCGATCGTGATAATTTCGAAGTAAGTGAAAGGTGATATTCCTGATTGTGATAGCTATTCACTTGCCCTGGCCAGGCAGGATGAAGAGCGGACACCTCAGGAAATGCCTAGTAAGATCAAAAGTTGATTTCAGAAAGCTGAAATCATATCTGAATATGATAGAAAGTTTTCATCGTTTGGAATCGGAAAAACGATATAGAGTTATTATGTGGATAAGATAGAATATGGTGAACCGGTGTCACCATAAGAATGTTAAAAAGATCTAAGGACGTGATGAGTACGTATAGAAGAACTCAAGGATAAGTGCATCAGTGACAAGTGTATAAGATGTATAAAGTCAGAGCTTATGAGTTTGAAACGAAGTGATAGTATTGCGCATAAACAAGAGTATGTTTATGATAAGGGTTTGCAGTTAAGATGAAAAGAGTTAGTATGGCTAACTAGAGTATGTGATAAAAATGTACTGGAATTATAAGATTATAAGATATTGTCAGGATATGATAACCAGATCTACAATGGATCTGGATACAGTTGCATATTTGGATCATAATAATGTGGTATAGTAAAGGAAAAGGAAGTAAGAATTTGTATATTTAAGTAAAGCTGAGGATTGATAAGAAGAGTTTGAGAATGTGTATATCGATGATCAGATTATAGGACACAGGAAGTCAGAA